AGATCTCATACCATTGAATCCCAATTTGGTCCGTGCGCGTCATCGAGGATTTGTCCGCTATGCAAATTCAGTTCCGGAAGCATTCCTCATCCATTACTTCACAGTGCTGCAGATCCACAAACCCCGGTTGCTACTTCGACGAGACTGAAACAGCAAGATCTCCTACCCAGCTGAGCGATATGATGTAGTTGATTATAAATTACATACTTGCTTGTGCTCAGAAGACGTCAAAAAGTGAATCTTACCCCTTTCATTAAAGGAAAGGGGTGTGTGTGTGTGTGTGTGTGTTTGTCACCCTCTGTACCAAAGAGTTTGTAACCTGTGCATGTTCTACCTATCATGATGATTTGATTTGAGATGCAAACAATACCGCAGGGGGGCTGGACATGTGCTTTGGTTGCCAGCCCAACGAAGAGGGCCAATGCACATGCTGATGCGGTGAGGGACGCCTCACTGTGTACTTGCCATCAAGTGATAAGTTCTCATCTCTTGCTACGCTGTGCATTTCTTTGTTACTTCGTTATTGCCCTGTAGTTACTACTATTCTAGAGTGAGTGCGCAATTGGACAACGGCCATGCAATTTGACAGCTTGCCATGGAAGTTATGTCCTATGAAGGGTTCATGCAGACTTTCATATGTCAAACAGTTGCCGACATGTGCAATTGCAGGGTGTGATTGCAGCCAACATGTCGGAAGGAGTAGATCCAACAGTGGTGTTGCTGCCACAGTTTGGTGTTGTTGGTTCGGGAAGCACACTGTTGAGCCAGCGAAGAAAATTGCAGTGGCCACCCATTGGACCTCCTGGTCTGCTTAAGTTTGTGTTTGCGTGTGAGCACTTGTGTGCCGAAGCAACTTCGAGAATGCTTGTGCGCAGAAATTGTCATGTCGGAGGAGATGCAGTATCAGCTGCGACATGGAGACGAGTAATGTTCAAACCTGACTTCGTATCGGGAGCCTTTAAGCTCATTAAGGTGCAGATGCTGAGCTGTACTGAAATGCGGAGACAGTCGACCCCAAATCCCCGACGAAAATCGTTCCCACACCACAGACCACCAGCCCGACCAGCGGTCCCGCGAAACCCTCAACTGCAAGTGCTTCGGGCTTTGTAAGGTGGTGGTTCAAGGGTTCAGGCTTAGAGTCTAGGGGTACAGGGTCTAGGGTTTGAGGGGCAAGGTTGTACTTGTTGAGTGAAGGCGTGTCGGTAATTGATGGTTTTCTTTTCACGTTTCAGGGTTTGGGGCTTGAGGGTTTCTGATCGAGATTGCGTTTCTTTTGTTTCCCAGTGTCCACAACGGGCAGCTCCAGATAACGCAGAACAAAAAGCTGACACCTTCCCGTCTTGGGCGTGGCAGCGGCACAGGGTGTGCTTTATGTTTGCTGCATTTTGATAGTATCCTCCTGTGTCTTGAGCAGCATCCTTGCATGCATGTCGGTGGGTGGCACCCTGTGTGTGCAGTGTATAGCTGGCTTGCACGAGGTGGTGCTGGCCGCGCTACCTTGGCACTCTTAAGCGGAGAAGACTGAACATTTACGGAAACTTAAATCCCCACAGCTTGCAACAGAACTGATAACTTTCCTATCAGGCATGGAAGGCATCGCAGCTGGTCGAGTTCTCCCTGGCAACGATCCTTGCTTCTTGCATGGTGCGCCGGCCTGAACGTGTCCAAGTATGAGTCACAGCTGCCTCGCGCTCAGCAGGAAAGCTGGCTCCTCCGCGGCTCGACATCAAGGTTAGATGTCGTGACCCAGGCCACAGCAACTGTGCTTTACTTGTAGCAATGCTTCCTGCCATGGCAGAAGAGCAAGTTTCATATTCTTTGCGACAACCTGTTGTTATGGCTAGGCATTGATGAGCATGTGAACTTGCTTCTCCAAACTCATGCAATTGTGCAACTTGCCAACGTTGAACTGATACATCAGTAGGCAAATAAAATGTACAGAGCTTCGCTGCACGTCCTGTCAGGAGTCATAACTGCTCAGGCATTCTGTTTTCCTTTTCAGCTCTGGGGCCCCACGTCCATCGGCACATGAAAGAGGTCTTGGTGTTGAAGCTAATGCTGCGCGCCGCCCACTATAGATCTACATATGTTGGCTGATGCACAGGAGTGGCGCAAAGCATCGCGGAGCTTTGCCAAAGGTCCCTCGCTTGATTACTGCTGAGAAGGCAGACAGACCGTCGCGCCTGCGCAAACAAAACATCCGATTCCTGTAGACATGAAGAATCCGATCAGATGAGTTGTTGGCCAACTGCGCGTAGCCAAAGCGGGTTGGCATTGCCGTGAGGCAGGCAAATGCCACTAGGATGAGTGTTTGGTAGCTGGCACAGCAGGAGTTTTGTCGAGTGCAGTGAGAACTAGCAGCACGATGTGACATGCCAAGAAGCAGGCTGAAGTCCTGTTCCAAACACCCGTCAAACACCCCAGTTTGGGACTGAGTTCGTTTAGTATTGCTTTCAGGGCTGACGCGCTTCCGTCGAGCTTATCTTGGGAGGAACCCGTTTAAGGGGATTGCACAGGCTTTGGTTGCGGATGTTGCCCTCAATTCCCTTTGTGTTCTGCAAAGTGTAAGGGGCATGCTCATGGGCCCCATCGCAAAAGACCCCCAGACGGGCAAAGACACCTTTGGTACCTAGAATGGCAATGCGCTTCGGCCTTTCGCTGCCATGCATGCAAGCATCAAAAGAAATGAATTCCAACTGCTCTGGAGGCCACTGAATGGAGTCCTGCGCAAAGCCCGTTTTACTTGCTCAGCTCCTGACAGCTGTTCAGTGCCCTAGGCTCGACGGACAGTTCATTCGCCAAGTTATCGTAAAGCGAATGAAGATTTGGGGGTTTTGCTGGCTCCTGGCAACAGTTGCATATTCAGTGGCCTGACCGGGCCTGACCTCTTACGCTTGCCCGCAGCTCCTGGCAAGGTTTTGGCTCGCTAGACCTGTGGGGTGTTCAGACTTGTCACCAATCATGTAGCAGCTGAATAGGTTCGTTACCCCTTCAGATTCAGTATGGACCGAAGAGCCTGCACCTGAAGCACCCCGAAACCACAGACTCCACGCTTTCAAAATTTCGATTCAATACCAACAAGACTTGAGCCATCGCAGGGAAAATCATTGCCTGACACTTCCCTTGAAATGTCGTGCCAAAGAAATGGTCACGTGTTTGACGAGAGGCACGCGAGGCACTCCATGTTGCAGGCCTCAGCAGGTCATCCTGCTTGCCCTGGGACTTCTGGCATCCTGCAATCTTCAGGGCTGCCTGCCTCCTGACTGGTCGTTTTGTGACTGTGACTTCCGTGATAACTTCTGGAACAGTATCCTCAACGATGTGCACCTGCTGTGGGACGGCCCAGATTTTGTTCGGAAAGCCAGAGACAACACGACCTTTCAGGGACGATATCTACAATCTCCGCCAGATGACTTGAACTGTCCCGTTTCACCGACTGTCTTCTGGAAGGCCTGGCCGCAATATGGAATTACGCGTGGCCTGATTGAAGGATCCATGGGAGATCTCTGGATGCCTGGAGCTAGAGACAGGTTCAAACAAGTCTGCATAGCGGGACACATCGCTTTGATGGCAATCTGTTCACAACATTTCTTGGTGAAAGCTGCCCGCATGCAGGAGGCAGGGGATCCAGATCACATGAAGTGGCTAGAAGCATCCTATGGCCATATGGTTGCTATTCGCAACCTTGGCCAGGCCTACCAGATACGTCAGTGCATGGGTCAGCAAGGGTGGTCCCTGAACGTGGGTGCCTTCCACAGGTATACCGAGACATGGATAGGAAGAGAAGCACAAGGAACCGCCCCTCAAGCTGCTTTTCTCAATGGGAAGGTCGACCCGTGGCAGATGTTGTTCACAAAGCCAATGCATCATGACAGCGAGAGCCGAGCAGCAGCATTGCCGGACCGAAGAGTTTGCGTTCCGTTCAAGGACCCAGCGTGCTGGAAACGCAAATCCTTACTGTTGATAGAGACATGCGAGCATTGTTGCAACCCGTTTGAGCATAAATCGGGTCGTGGAGCAAGTTGGTGTTGGGACGACGAGTGGACATATGAGAGATGCTGCCAGCAGGACTACAAGGATCTTGTGTGCGAAGTTAGGCGTAAAGGTGAGGAAGGTGGTTGTGTCGACTGCAAGAAATCAGTGACGTACGTCTGCATGACGCCACCTGAGAAGCGACTGCAGGATGCACAGAACAATTACAATACAAAGGTGGATCTTTTTAATTCTTTGCAGGACAAAGCCAAGACACTGGCAACAGACATAGCGGCAACTCGGAGTGACCTAGTAGACAAGGACGGAACATACCGAAACCTTCACGCTGACCTGAATGCAAAGCTGCAGATCTGGCACCGGGCGTTCAACAATGCCTCACGACTGTCCTCAGCCGCACGCCTTCAGCAACAGGACGCCACGTGGAACAATTCAAATTCAGCCCTGCAAGAGGCGCAAGGAGTTTTGCATGCCTCACAGGCTGCAACATCTTCTGCACAGGCTGCGCTTTCAGAGGCAAGAAGGCTGGAGCAGCTAGGAAGCCAGCTGCTTGCAAACAACGAATCGTCTTATAATAAAGCGAAGAGCCACCATGCCGCGACTGAGAAGGCACTGACTTTGAGCCAGCAGAAACAACAAGTGGCAGAATCAGCCACAACTGAAGCGGAGGAGGCTCTCAAAGCTGCAGCTCAAGCAGCTGAGGCGGCCTTGGAGACTTCGGAGTCCGCTAACACGTCGTGCGATGCGACCTACTTAAGCACCCACCGTGAGCTGGAAGAAGCAGAATCAGCCAGGGATCTTCTGCGAGCTCAAGCCTTGAAAGCCGTGTCGGACCAGCAAGTCGCAACAGCACTGCACAGCTTCTCACATGCACAAGCAGCTCGTGCCTGCTACCACCGAGCCGCGATCGACACAGCGTCGGCCGGCGCTCGCGTTCGCTCTGCCCAGCACTTGGTCAACGAGGCCCAGGCTGCTCGTAACCGCACTGCAGAAGCTCTCAACGCAGCACGGAAAGACGAAGACTTAGTGCAGCAAGCCATTTTCAATTGTACTATTGGTTCTAGGGGATCTTCTGCAAGTCAATGCCTCATTGCGAGTACGCCTGCCAACAAATCTGCAAAGCCTCTGACAATTAAGTCATCATGGCAGAAGGATCTTTGCACCTCCTGGCAGGGATGTGACGCAGGAGGGTGTGCCTGTTCTGACTGCGAAGCTGAAACTGGATACATGGAGCCCGAAATCAATTCCCTGACGCGACGGCTTCAGGAGAGCCAGCGCTTCGCAACCGAAGTCCTGAAAAGCCAAAGGGAATTCGAGCCCGACGAAGATGCTGTCTATGTACCCCCTGAGCTAGTCACCGCATCGGAAGCGGCTGCTGAGCAAGTCTCGTTGGCAAGAGAGGCGCATGCAATGGCGGGCAAAGCGTCCAAAGACGCAGAGAGCAGCCTCACCAGGCTAAAGGCTGATCGTGAAGCAATTGGCAAGAAGCATTTGGCCGCTCAAACAAAGTTGAAGGAAGCACGGAATCGCGAGAAGGAGTTGAGCTCAGAGATGTCATCCGTACAAGCTCACTTGCGCCGCAATGTGACTGCGCTGGAGCAGATGAAGCATCGTCTAGTGGAGGCAAACGAGACAGCACTGCGCACGGCAGTCCTTGTCCAGGAAGCCATCAGCCGCGAAGCAGCAAGCAAGGAAATGCTAGCGAATCTAACACAGGAAGCTGAGCGTCAAAAGCGAAATGAGCAGCTGGAAGCCCAGCGGAAAGCTGAAGCAGAGAAACACGTCCAATCCTTGAACCAGTCCCTTGCAGACAACCTGACCGTGTTGGTCTCCGCGTGGCTGCGCCAACAAGAGACTGCCGGCCAGGTGCCCGCCATGCTTCCATGTTTATGTACCCGTAGTGTACGCGTGTTATGCGTGTTGGACATGTGCAGGTAGCATCCTGGGATTAGGGCACATGATGCACCCCCGCGCCACCATGCCAAATGCGCAACATGCCACACAAATCGCGTCAGGCTGTGTGACTAAGTCCGCGGATCTGCAGGCATCCCACTCTTCGCGCTGGAGTGAGCGACTCCTTTCAGCAGCAAAGGCCGTCCTCGTCAACATGGCAGCACGCCTGGCCTCTGTCAGATGTAAACTGCCGGATAGAAGTTGGTACTTGGGAGTATTGTCAATCTGCCTGCCAAGGTGGGTTCATTCGAAAGCTTCTTGGAAAACTACGTTATCAGCATTGCAGACAAGGAGACTTTGCCAGCACGGAGCAGCAAAGCAACATGAGCTACGAGTTCCAATCGCAGGATGCGGCCATGCAAGTAATGCGAGCCGTGGAGAACCTCAAGGCATGAGACGCGAATATGGGACCTGATACTGCAAGATGTCATGTTGCAAGATGTTGCTCCCTGAAGGCCGTGGAGTTGAGTGCTCTAGAGACAGAGAAGAGTGCAGAAGACGCTGCAGAGCAGGCCCAGTCTGAATAATGCAGATGCTGAAGTACTGTTCTGTTGCTCTGTGCTGCTGTGTTTGAGTGAGTGCAAGGGTGGGTGCAAAGAGGGCAGCATAGAGCAAATTCGCACGGCCTGCAGGACCTTGAGATTAAATGGTGCGCAATTGGGAGGTACGCGCGTTGCCGCAGTACCAGACGCTGAAGCCTGTCGGAATGTTCGACAGAGAATCCGCAGGGCTTTCTCTTGTTCCGAAAAAGGCCTGAGTACCTGGCTGGCACTACGGTAGGGCCTTTCTACACCACGGCGCACCTTTTGACCCCAAGGTTCTGAAGGTGATGCAGATAAGGCTCATGCTGCCCTCTTTCACATATTGCCCGCGATTGAGTGCAGCACTGGGACCGTGAGGATATTGATTTTTGGGGCACCAGGCAGACGAGGGTGTTTGGCGTCCTGAACTGCGGTATATTATTGTTTTGGCATACATCCCACCCATCCCCAGCCCATGCTCGCAAGGTTTTTTGGACACCTAACGCTTGATGAGGTTGTTGTGCCAAGGATCTTGCAGCCTGGAGACATCGCGGGCCTGGCATGATGCAGCCCATGAGCCCATGGCGAGGGAAGTTGTTGAACTTGTGGTTTCCCGCGCGTTGGGGATCTGAAAACCGTGATACTTGTGGGCGCGAGCCTGCAATAGCTTATGAAAGCCCATATGCTGCTGCCTGCATCATGGGCTGATAATCAGCTGTTGATGGTACTGAGGCAGTGGAGCCTCCTTGAAGCCTTGAGGATTCTGATTTTTGCTGTTTGGCATGCTTATCCTGAGCAGTTTGCTCAGGGCATTGGCTCGCACCTGGCTCTTTGGAAACATTTGCGTATTTGGCATCCACCCAACTGTCTGAAGAGGCTTTTCTCGTGACTTCAAACTCACTAGGGTAATCACCCTCCAAAAAGAAAGCGCCGTCGAAGCTGGTGGTGCCCTGGCTGGGGGTAACGGCTCGAATGGCATGGGCATCCTTGCATTGATGTTGATCTTGATGGTCGGCGCTGGCATCGCCCGCAATGTCGCGGAAGTGGGCCACGGATGAAGTACTGTAGAGTTTGTACGCTTGTTGCGCGTGGCTTTGCCGCTCTTTTTTAGCAAGGTGGGCCGTTGTCATGCTGCGCTGCAGCCTTCGCACCCAGGAGCAAGGTGACTTAACAGTTAAAGCTGTAGCATGATTTTAGGGGAATCAATGCTTGTTATCGAATCTCGAAATTCACAGGATGGGCTCGTGTGAAACTTACCTCTTCAGCCTGCTGCCATCAAGACATGACAGCAAAAGATGTGCATAGGCTGATCGCAGCGATACAGCCAATTTGAAGGCCGTCCCTGATACCTCTACCCCTGTAGTTGTGCTCAGATTCTCAAAGAGTCTTGTATTTCCACACCGGGGTGCTGGGCTTGTCTGTGTGTTTCGAGGCCAAGCGAGCCGCCGTCAGGATGGCAAACGCACAGGCAGCAATAAGCCTGCCATGACAGCACCAATCAGCGCCATGTTCATGCAGGCTGCCAAGGAAGAGGCAGATCAGAATGCCCGTTCCGCAACAAGCACGCTGAGAGGTGCAGAGGACATCCATCAGATTGAATATGTAGACAGCTGCCAGTGTGGCCATTCGCTGGCAGTTACTGCTTGCTGTGTTGCAGCACATAATGCACACTCAATATGAAGAATCCAAGCCTTTTTTGTTGCCTTTGTCCTCTGGTTCCTACGGGCACGGTCCCTGACCCACCACAAGAGTTCTCAAATGAATTTCCAGAGATACGATTTTTTAATGGATGCGCAGTCATTGCCATGAGCAAGCCGAATCAACTCAAATCAAGAATCAGGCTCCGTAGCCTTCTTCTTTCAGGCTTGAATCCTGGTCCTCAAGAGGGCACCGGCACACAAAACTCCTGACGCGATCAAAGAACAAAACACAGCAAGCACAATGCCCAACATCATGCCCAGCGATCTGAGAAGTAAAGGCTTCATTCCCCAAGCTTTTTCATTAATCGATAGTTCAAACTTTGGAACAATTTAGCAAACTCAGAAGCAACACTGTGCGGCATTGAGCTGTAGCTGGCAAGAAATGTAGTTCTGTGCAACAATGGGTAGGAGGGTACAACTCAATTTGGAGGAATCCAAACTCGCGGCAGAGATCTTGCTGAACCGGACAAGGTGGCGGGGATTGGATGTGGAGGGGTATGGGCCGTAAGCTCACGTGGGCTTCATGGGATAAAAGTGTGGGGTTCTCAGTGGTGCTGAGAAGTCTAGAAAGAATTCATCTTAGCGGCATCAATCAGTAACCCGTGCAACGGCCGAACTGTTCATGTAGCTTACTCTGCGAAAATGTCTGGATTTTTACTGTGCAGTACGATGGCAAACAGCCTGGAGAAACAGCTGCAAGACGCCAAGATCTTCGTTGACAAGTCTAAGGCCGGGAGTTTGCATGTCAAGCTCAGTCATGTGATGTCGCGAGCCTGCATCAAGTGCTAACATCTGACCAAAATCCTTTTTGGTGTCTGCAACATCTGGAGGCAGAGATCGATGCTGCAGCTCTGGAAGAGAAGAACGCAGTTGACGCAGTGAACCGGCAAGCAGAACATGTCAGGACAGACTCCGTGTCAGTCTCTGACTCGATGTTGCTTCCGTCGGTCGTGAATATGCGGTGTGACGAATGTAGCTGGCATTGTTCAAGGTGGGTGAGTCAAGGGTTGTCACTTTTATTTGGAAGTGGCGGCCTATCTGTCATTCTCATTGTCTTCTTGTAAACCTGGCCTGAAATCCTGCCAACAGCTACGACGCCCAAAATTTTTGAGAAATTTGCGTAGACGATGCAAATCTGGCTTGCAGACCGCGCCGGTCTTGTGGTGCCTGATACAAATCCTGGCTTGGCATTCGCAGTTAGCAGAAGTCTGCGATGTGGCAGGTCTGCGACAAGGAGCCTGGAGACGGCGGATGCCGACCTTGCAAAGGCAGCAGCCGAAGCTGATAAAACGGCAAAACGCGTTCGCGACATTTTGTGACACCACAGACATGTGCTGCGACTTACCTCGAGGCCATCGCTGCGCACGGGGCAGCCGAGCAGACAGTTGTGAAAGCCAAAGAGGCATCCATCGGCAGCACGCTAGCTGCAGAAAAACTTGCTTTAATCCGATGAAGATGTGACTGCCAAGATCTTCCAAGGTAATCTTCTGGCAGCCAAGCAGAAGTGTCAGCCAACGGAGCATGAACTGAAGGCAACATGGCAATCTTTATGGTAGGGTTGCTGGTCTCAGGCCTCCAGCCTTGCCGGAGGGTTTGATCATCAAACGTCGGGCGATCTATAACGAAACAAGCACACTTTGCTGCGCTTCTGAGGGAAGATAGCTTTTGCACTTGACATCACTTGACGCACGCCCTTTGCAGTTCATAGCTTACAAGGAATTACGAGGGATTCCCTGCTGTTGGGCCAGCAGGTGTTAACCAGGTTTTATTGACTGCCAGATGTCGAGCTGACTTGCATTTTTTTTTGGTAGCTGGGTGATGTTGGGTGCTTCCATTTCCAGCTCTCCTTTGACACCTGTCAATGTCATTTTCTAGTTTGCGGTTGTTTGATCACGTATGTCAAAGGCCATGCAAGCCTTACATGCGTGCAACTTCGAGGTTTATCTCCATTTCCGGGAGCACCTCAGTCTTGCCAAGCATGTTGTGGTTCGTGGCTCAGACCAACGTTCCTTATTTGCCCATTGAGATGTGCAAGCAAAGTTGACCGCCAGCGTGGTGGAATCGACGCTATCCGCAAACTGTAGAAGTGCGGTATAAGTTCGAGCATGTTGCTTTTTCGCATGTATCTTGGGGCAGTGATGTTTTTCAAAACGTGCGGTGCATAGGGCGCAAGTTGTCAAGCCTCACGGCTGCAAGGACGATCATCGCGCCATTTGAGCTGCATCAGACAGATGCCAGGTATGCTGTTTTCGAGCATTGATGATGGAAGGCTGGCACGCTCCAAAACACATCATGGTCACATCTCAGAGGTACAGTAGCTTGCGAGCAAGATGGCAACAAACAGAAAAGTAAGCGATGCATAAGTCTGGCTGTTTGGTTCGACGTTCTGCCGCACGATCGAACTGGAAACAAGCATGGACACGTGGGCGAGGCCGTTCTGGACTCTTTCAGGAACTCTCTCAGGAACGGTGAACAGAGACTTCGTAGATGCCGAAACTTCGCATGCACGTCCTGCTTGTGCAACACGGCCCGCTGGTGGCGCATGGCTGGCAATCTATGCCATGCCTGTTCGAGAGTTTCCTAGATGCACCTTAATTTCTCAAACCCTGGCCGACGGCGCTGCAACAACACGATACTCTTCTCCGTGGCCTCATGGCCTATGAGGTTGCAAGACTTAGAGAGAATTAGCACAGCCAGCAAAGCGTCGTTGAACCAGCTTGCCGAAGTCCATGCAAAATCCATTTGTCTGTGGCAAGGAGCACCCCATAGATTCCATAGATGTCCTCATGTATGAATGTGCCTGAGATAAGAGCCTGTCAACACGACATGAAATCCCACTGCTTTGTGTTTGTCAGTGTACAGTTGTGTAGATTGAAGCTGCTTCAAAAAAGTGTTACACCCACCCGTCCTGTCTGAGGCCACAGCTAAGGCATGGCTCGTGTAGCCTTCGGCCACTGAGATTTGCAAGGTTGGGGAGGGTGGTGCAGGAGCATGAGCTCGCTTGAGCTCGCAAGCACAGAACGACCAATGTCGGGGGAAGAAGTGAGATGCTCTTGATTGCTCTTGGGTATCCTGAGATATCCTGAGCTTCGCCGCTGTGGTACATTTGGATTGTGGAGCCGGGGGTGTGGGTGTAAATCCAAACGCAGGTCGCTCACTGCTACCTTTTCTGGAGTGGAAGGGCAACGGCTGAGCCGTTAGCTGTTATTATTGTCAGATATTACATCGGCAGCTGCAGCACAAGTCAAATATGCTAACGTATCGTGTGGAAAGCTTGAGATGTTGTGTCAGAGCGCTGCCCTGTGTCCTAGGTTCAACGCCTCAAGCTGTGGCAGCTAGCTGAACACGAACTACAACAGCAAGCTTTTGCCCTACAGGGCGCACAGGCGCCCCATCCCATGGGTCAATTTGCCTTTGAGCAGATTGTGCTTCATGGCCTTGACGAGCGTAGATGGATCGCTGCGTCAGCAGGTTCTGTGGGAAGCCCTGCAAGATGACGTGCTGGACGTGGCCGCTTCAGCAAGTCATCATGCTGTAGCAAATGCAGCGGCAGACATGGACCTGCAGCAGCAGCAGGCAGGTGCTAGAGCAACAAGAATTTTGTCAGTGCTCTGCTTGAGTCGGCTGACATAAACCGTTGGAGGAGATAGCAAGTGAGCTAGCGGCTTCACTTGCAGACGGCAAAGCCAGCTTCAGCATTGCGCAGGAGTCGAATCAGGGAGACTCTCGAACACTGACTTGGCAGAACTGCTGCCATTTCTTGTGTGGAAGGAAAATGTGACCGCAATTCTGAAGATGCGATTGGAGGCCAGTCTTTGTGAATTGCTGGTAGACTTGGGTTGCCATAATTCTGACTGCGAGGCCAATGCGTCTGCATTGAGTCGGGCGGCAGCTTTTGCCACGGCTACTGCAAAGCGGGAGTCTGCAGAGAGCAATCTTGTACGAAGGAGTTACTCCTGTTGGGCAGTGTCTTTCTACTCTACGGTTTCATGCTGGCTGCAAAGAATGTCTGAATGGAGTCAGGAGACAAAAGTTGGAGGCTGCAAAGAATCATTCAGCTCAGCTGGCTGTGGTCTGGAGCCCAGTCTGGCGCGCGGTATTTTTATGCGAGCATCTACTCCTCGAGGTGCAAGACCCAGAGGAAGAACAGCACCAAGAAACAAAAAGTCAAGAGCATGATCAATAGCTTAACGGCATTCGTTCCCACTCCTCTCTCCTAACCACAATTTCAAGAAGGGCACTAACTCTTTAGCATTTGATACTCTTGGAACAGTCCAGGCGAATCTGATGTTTTTTGCACCCCTCCCCCCTACCCACCCATTCCCCCCACCCAAGTTGTTTGAACAGACGTGGATAGGACTATGTGGGGTTCCAAACGCCGCTGCAAAAGACGCGATGTCTCAGTCATTGGTTTGAAAGTGGCCGGCCTGCGCCCCTTCCCCCCAGCTCAACATCTGTTTGACAAGCTTTTTTCTATGCTGTTGTAACAGGCGCAAACTTTTTTCCCAGCACCAAAGTTTCTGGTTGCTCTGCTTATGAGACTCCTCAGTGGGTCTCGCCACGGTGATTGCTGTCAGATGCATGGGCTTGCTTTGGGTCTTACTTTGTGAAGGGCTTTGTGTCAAATTCTAAATAGGTAAGACTGAAGACTGGACAACTGCCATTGACGCCCACTCTATTTCTAGGACAACTTTCCTTTTGGTTTTGATCACTACCTCTCCGAAGTTGAGGACTGCGGGGATATCCAGGCGTGTGCACAGCAGGGATATAGCGGCATTCTGGGGGGGGGTAGTGAAGGATACCTGGGGGGGTGTTATTTAAGGATACCGGCGGAAGCGTGGACCAACATGCCCTTTGTAGAGTTGAACAATGCCAGAGACCAAAGGGGAGCAAATCTAAAGAATCTTGCGTCCTTCGCGCGTCCTTGGAACCATCAGGGTCTCTTGGGGGGCCCGGACAGTAGGCAAGTAAGAGGCGCGTAATGCCTGTAAACCCATAAGATGTCTCTCAAGGTCTGACGAGATTGGATCTCTTATGAAGCTAAGGCTACATTCCGAAAGGCCGGCGCAACTTCTAGTGTCTGCTAGGTGCGTCCTTTTATAGCTTTGTTAAGCCGGCATGAGGTGTGTACGACGTGACTGGACATTCTATGCGAATTTTGAAGTCGTTCTACAGTACATTGTTATAACTTTTTTAGGCCTGTTAACATGTCAGACGGGCTTTACACAGGAAGTCGAGAAGCTGGTACTTCTGGACTTGTAAATCAATTAGTAGGTTTGAAACTTATGGCCCTTAGCTCAACTATCGGTTTTTGTTTTCGGTGCAACATGTGCTTCTTTCGGCGTGGATGTTTATGGGATATGTGATCCGGCTTTTCATCGTGGCTGCCACTTTTGAGGTGCCAAACAGCTCGTGAGAGTGAGATGATATTTGGTCTTTTGACCCCTTTGCCCTTTGCCAAGAAAAATGCAAAAAAGGGTCCCTGTAGGCTAGCTAGTCAGCTAGTCATGCCCGGGTCCGCCGAGGAAATGAATGGAAGGCAACAAATTATTTGCTTGAGTCTGGCACTGTCAACATGCACCCTCCATTCAGACCTTTGGACAACGCTTTTTTCTCGAACCTTCTTTCATGGCTGCCGTGTGCTGGCTCCGTACTTCTGTTTGGAGGTGATGCCCCCTTCAAGGCAGATTTGCATACCGGTCAGCTTGGCACGGAGGTCCCGTTACAACTTCACTCGGCGGCATAGTTTCAACCGGACATTGCGGTCTTGAAATTTCGTGAAAGTCTGCAGTGGCTATGGCTGGTTGCCGCATGTTGCCGCCAGGGCCATTCAAGAAAGTTTTTGTAGAACAAAAATGCATAAACAGACAGTCCGGTGCCACAGCATCAGCCGCAGAGCTGTGCTGCTGTAGGCATTCTGGAGCATCAATTGCATGGTCAGACGCTTGCAGCATCAACCACTTGCTACACAGATGCATCATGAATCATCATGACAGGAGCTTGCCAAATCAGTAGAGGTGGAGGCAGAAGCCAAGAAGTCTGCAGAAGCGGCAAAGGCGTCCGCGGCAGATGAACTCGCCACGTGTGTCTTACCCAATGATGCGTGGACAAGTTGCAAGTCTTCAAGTTCTGTGACGCAATTGCTGTCAGGTGTGGCAGGCAAGCTTCAACGCGTCATTGCAAATTGAAAGGCCAGCACTTCCAAGATTACACCAGATGTCGGCAGCCGCTGTTTTGCCAGGAAAGAGGACCTTTTGAGGGAAGCCCAAGAAGACCAAAAGAGATGCCAGGGCGCAGAGGATCCCCGACACACTGCAAA